CTCTGTCGCCCAGACTGGAGTGCAGTGGCCGCTCCTGGCCACCGCAGCCTCGACCTGCTCCGGTGATCCTTCTGCCTCAGTCTTCTGAGTAGCCGGAATTACAGGCATGCGCTACCACGCCCAGCTGATTTTTTGATTTTATTGTAGAGATGAGGTCTCGCTGCCCAGGTGGGTCTCGAACCCGCGGGCTCAGGCAATCTACTCACCTCAGCCTCCCAAAGGCACGGGATTACAGGCTGAGCCACCGAGCCCGGCTATTTCTAAATTTTTTGTAGAGAAGGGGTCTCACTATGCTGCTCAGGCTGGTCTTAAACTCCTGGCCTCAAGTGAGCCTCCTGCTTCAGCCTCCCAGGGTACCCCACCAACACGCACACTTTGAAACTGTTCTCATATGCTCATCATTACTTAGTGTGGAACTTAAGGGGTATATATTACTTAAAGGAACAGTACACTAAAACCTCTTGCAAAGTAAAAAAGTAGTTTCCCTAAGTACCTAGCCAGATACATAAAAGTGCTTTATAAACTCCTACCTTTGTACGCTGAGCTTTCTTCAAGTGAAAATCAAATATATACAAGGCATACCTCACGCATGTAACTGGGGATTGAGTTTGAGCATAAATACTAGCCTCTAACTTGGCCTCTGGATCATAAAAAATGGTCCAAAATGTCTTACACTGCCAACTCCTGGTAAGGGTTTTGCGGCTCCTGATTCCATATCTTAATGGCTATATAAGCACTGTAAAATCATGTTATTTACTATTGATTCAAAGTAATATTTCAGTTGTTTAATGGTTTAATTTGCTAATAATAAGAAAATAGGAAAAGTGATTGTCAGGTGCATTTGGAAACGAATAGTAAAAATCTCCAGCAAAACAGTTCTTCCAGTTTTCCTTCCTGTGACAGCCTGGTGCCCTGGACTTGTCCAAGTTTTTACCAAGTTACCCTAGGGACCAAGGGACCCTAGTGGCTCTAGGGAAAAAGCACCAAGAGTCAGAGCTGGCAGGAGCCCCGTCTCTGAAGAAACCCACTCCACATCTCGTTAGGTAATTGTCAAACTGGGGAAAGCACACCGGCTAACTCTGACACAGGCCGAGTACCCGAAATTACAGGACTGCAAGGTGCATCTCCTTAGGAGGCTGGGTGAATACATTTTTATGTTATTTTATCTTATAAAGGTGCATATTTCAGAGGTTAGTGCCAAGTCTCTATTATAACTTTTAAGATGAAAACAGCTGTCATTGTGGCAGCTTTTATTCTGTCTTAAAATACGCCTAGTGTTTACTTTGGCTGCTGGAGTATTTTCTGAGGAAGACTTTACAGAGCACTGATCTATTTGCACCCTCTTTGAAGAGAGGCTTTAAAAATGGCAAGTAGGCACCTGGCCTGTAGGACCAAGTTTCAGGGGTGCTTTATATACCACGCACATGGGCTCCTCCAGGGCTGACTATGGTGGCACTTTTAGACAGGCCAGTTCTTTGGCTAGCAGGTAAACGTATGTAAATCACAAGTTTAAATGGGAAATGCCTCATTTAACAGAATGTACTATTAGTGCTAAAGTACTATCTTTTTATTTTTTTGAGTCAGAGTGTTACTGTCGCTCAGGCTGGAGTGTAGTAGCACGCTCATGGCCACCGCAGTCTCGACCTGCTGGGCTCAGGCCATCCTGCCCCAGTCTTCCAAGTAGCTGGAACCACAGGCGTGCACCACCACGCCCGGCTAATTTTTTTTTTTTTTTGAATTGGGAGTCTCACTCTGTCGCCCAGACTGGAGTGCAGTGGCC